CCGCTGGAATCGCGGGAATCACGCGGAAAACTTTCGCCGGCGAAAAGTTTTTCATCCTGCATCGTTGTCTGAACTTCCGACGGCGCGGTGAAATTCGTGTATATTAGTTTCCAACAGAGAGCTGCTCTTCGATGCAATTTAGATCGGTTAGGCCACGCAAGGATTCGATTTAATAACTATTGAATAGGCTACTAAAATGATGAAGAGGATAAGATTTCTCTTACAAACGCGTTACGTATGTTATTTAACGTTATTTAATTAATGAATTATATACAATATTAACATATTAAAAATAATCAGAAATTAATGTCGGTAATAATCACAAATCGTGATAATCAAAGTGACAATCGTAAAATATTAGTATTTTTCAAAATAAACTGGATGTAAATTTTTTTATCCACGATGTAACGTAATAATGTCGCATGTCTGGACGACGATTCTCGACTTTTCTATCCGAGCAAACCTCTTGTGTTCAGTCTCGTGTTTTCAACCTGTCTCACGAGGACTCACAAGGTCGCCGCTACGGAAAGCGGGTGGATCAAAGGAACCGCAAACCAGTCTAGCCGCGGCCTCGCGGCTGATTAAACTCAAGCGCAGCCACGAACGAGAGAGACAGTGGTGTGCGCAGGCGGACGGACGGACGGGCGGGCTTCGGGACAAACTGGACGGAAAGATGCGCGTGAACGTGCAACCCCCTCGTGCGTGCTGGGTCGCGGAAAGATGGCGTCTACCACTGAAATGGCCGCAGTAACGCGCTGATAAAACGTAAGGCATGACGACCATATCTGAAAAGGAGCGTCGGGCCACACGGAGGGCCCGCGAAAGAGCAAGAGAGCTAGAGAAAGAGAGAAAGAGAGAACAGAACGGAGGACGAAGTTAGATATCATCCCTAGTTACGAGTGGTGACGAGGGGCGGAGTCATGCCAACCGCACACCTGCCCCGAGGTGGACTGCCCTTGGTCACCCTTCCGGACCCCCCCGTTTCCACCCTCTGTGCAGGCTACACCTTGACAGACGCGTTTACGTTAACCGGTCGACCGGAAAAAGGGCGAAAGAAATGGCCGTTCGGTTGGCTTTTAATGGTCGACTCGATCTCGCTGTCGTGAAAATGTAGCTGGACCTCGCGGCGGCTCGAGGCTCCATTCTGGAGGCGCCAAACCGGTTGTTATCTAGGAGAAATATATTCGCGATAGCGGGTCCACCCTTCGGAGCGTGTCAGTCGCGATGCGCGGTCATCCGGTTTGATGGATAAGTCACGTCCGGATCGAAAATAGCAACCGTCGTCGCCGTACATTGTCCAGAAGTACGCGCGATATGCAAATCGCAGTTTTCTACGAATTCGCAATCGGATTGGAAGGTCAATTATTGCGATGTTTCGTACATCGGAACATCATTGCGAACAATAATCAACACGTATGTTAATTTGGGCACCTTTGCGGCGAGAGGAAGATTGTAATTATCTCCCGCGGAAATTCATGCTGACAGCGTAATGCAGTTTACGTCAGTAGAAATGTGTTGCGCATATCGGCGATAATACTTTTACGACTCGCATTAATCGGAGTGCTCCGTGGCATTAATTCAGCGCCTCGTACACACATCGCGTTAGCATGCTTGAAACATTATACGATGGGCGCTTAATGATAATATATGCACGTCGTTACGCGTTTGTATTTAAATTTATTCTACATTTGCTCGATCAGTTGACTCGTTTTTCTTAAAACCGCTAGTCAGCAACGAAACTTACAAAATGACTGTCCGTTAAAGTTCATGCTTGCTGACAATTACGCTCAATAACAATGTTAACGATATTGGAATAATTATTCTTCTTAATTTGTTTTTTAATATCTATAGTGTACATTCTATATAAAATTAGTCATGTTACAAAATCGGTAAAGAAAGCTACATCGCTTACATGAAGAATATTTCGGAATGTGTCTCAAAATATTTAGCCGATAAAGCTTCATCTTCGAGATGTAACGAAAGCACAGGTTTTTGTAAAATGATAAGATCCGAACTACAGTTGAATAAATTAATAAAATGAATCTGTGCGAGATAATTTGCCGAACGCAACCGTTATAAATTGCAAAATCGAGTTGAATGCAAAATTAAATATTTCTTGCGGAAAGCAAAGCAACGAGCAACATTACAAGATTGGAAATGGCGCGAGATAGAATACGAGGCGCGGTTCGATTAACAATCACCATGGAAACAAGTACTTGATGCGATCAGTTGGAGAGCACGAGCGAGAGGAGAGGAGGATGCGCGCGATGCATCCGTGCGCGTATACGTACGCGCGTATCAACGGTATACCTATGCATTTGCATATATATTTATATCTCCGGCAAGTGCACAGGGCTCGTCTATATCCTACCGGGGCCCGCCATATATATAGCTGTCGTATTTAAAGCGGTTGACGATGGCGATAGCGATGGTTGGCGGCGGCGGCGATGATACCGGAGGTAGCGGCTGTGCGAGAGATAGATTGGGAGAATCGCTCGGTGCGGGAAGGGGGAACAGAGGGTCGGGATGTAGGAGAAAGAGTAACGGAGAGTGGAACCGCGCACTGTGAGCCAAGAAAAGAGACGGAAAACACTCGGCTCGGAACGCGGATGGAGGAAACAGAGAGATAGAGACGGAGGTGGCAAGGGAGGCGGAATCGGGAGAAAGCAGCAGCAGCACCGGCGGCAGCAGTTGCCGCTCTCGAAGCGGCTGGCTGTTATCATGAGAAACAAGCTTCCACTCTGATTTTTTAATCCGATCCGCGCCCCCTGCCACCGGCTGAATTTTAAAATAACTGCAGAACGCCATTTGCTCCTCGCAAACAGACCGGGGTTAAGCCATCCCCGCCGCCGCCCCCCCGCGGCATCCCGCCGCCTCTTCTTGGTGCTCTTGGCTCTTTTCTATCTTCCTCTCACTTTTTCTGCCCCGTTTCATCGATGTCGGTCCACCTCGCGCACCTCTCGCTCCTCTCTTCAGCTCGCTGCTCGCCCGAACCACCCTTCGCCGTCGCTCTCTCTCTCTCTCTCTCTCTCGACGAGCAGAGGTAGTACGCGCGTCTCCGACCCTCCGCGTCTGGCGTCGAGCGGATAGGACGAGGAACATATATAGTAGAGGATGGGCTAGGTCGAAGGACGAAGAGACAGAGAGATGTATATCAGCATTCGCGCGAGCGCGCCTGATGCCAAATTGAAATGTTTAGCGCTTCGTTTCAGCTGTTTCAAATCCCGCATGCGGGGCGCCCGGAATCGGAGCGAGACAAATAGAAGCGGGAAAAGTGCGACGGGTAGATAGCGCAAAGAGAGGGTGGAAGGGAGAGGTGGTGTTTGTGCGACGGACGGACGGAGGGTGAGAACGAAGATAGAGGAGCGAGAAATGCCGTGTGTAGGCCTGCCTCGGGGAGAAGGGTAGATAAGTGACAGTTTTATTAATTTCCCATCTCCTTCCGCCGTCGCCTCTACGCTCACCACCCCCTGTCTAACCTATCCGACGCCACGCAACACCAGGGACGTCAGTCGCGCGTCCATACACGCCTTTTCCCATCCCCGTCGTCGGATACGTCTCGGGGTGCGAAGGCGAAAATAAAGCTCAATAATGGCGACGCGCCGTGACGGGGCCACCGCGCCGAGCCCAGAAGGCGGCGGAGGCGCCGGTTGGGGATTTGAATCAACGATATCTCGTCGTTCAGCGCGTCACCCGGTATTTTTATGAGGGAGGTTTTTTTCATATTCAGATACGGGAAAATCCTTCCGTTTGCTTTACAACTGTTTTGTGCGCCAAAGTTCCGGAAGCAGGACTGATTAATTCATCGCGTGTGATAGAATTTTTTTTGTATACATTATAAATTTTATCGAAATTGCATTGATTTTATTGCGGAACTTATCAACGTTTGCAATAGCGCCTCAAATTATTAATGACGAATATCATTAAGAAAATTGTTCTTGATTAGATCGGCGATTCTGTATAAATCTCTTTCGACGCTCCAGGTCTGAGATCGGGTCGCGACATTTCGCTCAGATTGTTCACGCGAAGAGAAGGGAGACGAATAAAACAAAAAGAAAGAAACAAAACTTGAACGAGAAACAGAAAAAGAGAGACAGAGGGAACGAAAAGAAAAGAGCGGAGAGAAAGTATCCCGTGAGTCCTAGCTCTGGTCGCCTTGGTGGTGGAAAATTTAATTTCGATTCCGTCGATTCAGCAGTTATACCGAAGTTTAATCTTTGATAAGGGTTAGTCTTTTAGTAATGGGATCCCAGAGGGTCGGTCGCTCTCCCCCGGTCCGACAGAGAGTAAGGCGGAAGGCGAGGAGAGTAGTCGTTGCTTTGCCCTCTTCCTTCGCCGTCCCTCGCCGCGCTATTCTCTTTTCCGCTCCATTCCGCTGGCCAGGATGGAAGGAAGGAGCTTAAACCGTTAGATAGAGATCTGCTCTCGGGATGGAAGTGGTACCTACCTACCCGCTTATATCGCTCCTCAAACCGAGCAGGGTTCGGACTTTTATACCGGCGCTGGGGAAGGCGTAACGAGCCTCACGATGGGATAAGTTTTCCGACGCGGGTTTCCGCGAAAGCTCTGCCAACAGCGGAGAAAGACGGAGATTTGCTTGAGTTTCTCTACTGTTTTTCTTTATTTTCGCTTATTCGCGCATAAACTATCGCGCTTATCTGGGTCACGCGCATCCTTCGGACGACGAAGACGCGTCCTCGACGTAGATTTTAATCCTCAACTCGTCTGATGAGGTCCGGGAATCGCTTCGGATCCTACTTGACCAGTTACCGGATAATGAACGGATGACTGAGCTCGCAGTTCTGTATCTGTATTTCGATCGCAAAACATCGGAGAATTTATACAGGCGATAATTTTCTGCTATCCGGAATTTTTTGTATTTTTTGCATTAATATGTCGCCTATGAAAATATTTTCGCGTTTTGCAGATATCGGGAGAAGAATTCAGTGATTATTGGAGATTATTTTACATATAATTCTCCTTGCTTGGATCTGTTGTAGTTATGGCATGGATCTGAACGGCGCAAGACGAAAAAACGCGACACGGGAAACAACGAGTACATTGAAGGCGTGGCTAAACGAGCACAAGAAAAATCCGTATCCCACAAAAGGCGAAAAAATCATGCTGGCTATTATTACGAAGATGACACTGACGCAAGTGTCGACGTGGTTCGCGAATGCGCGAAGGCGTTTGAAGAAAGAAAATAAAATGACGTGGGAGCCGAGGAATCGAGTCGAGGATGAAGATAACAATAACGAAGACGACGATAGTGGGAGGAAGAGCGTTGACGAGAAAGATCGGTTAGGTGAGTTCTGAAAAAATTCCTGAAATAATTTCATAATTTCTTTTTTAATTGCATCGCTTATCAGTCATCGGTGAACACATTAATCACATCATTGCTTTCATTATTATTCCTGAAAATTTTTCTGCTTAAATTATTAAATAAATTAAAAACCTGAAAATAAAAAAAAATCGAAAGGAAGCTGCATTAATCCGAATTACGAAGGTCAATTTTTTTTCTCCTTGGTTCAGATTCAAAAGACTCAGGTACAGGTTCCAGCGAGGACGGGGAACGACCGGCCCACCGTTTGGATCTTCTGCACGGCAGTAGTGGCGGAACGGCGGGCGTCCAAGGAAGAACAGACAGCGAATGGAGCGAATCGCGAGTGGATAGCGGCCCGGACAGTCCGGAATGCCTGTACGATCAGCGGGAGCCGAGGCATCCACTGCAATTACAACACCCGGCGTATCTGGCGCCAAATCACGGTCGGCTGTTGCGTCATCCGTCGCCGGAAAGCACGTCGCCGGGCAGTCAACATCATCATATACCGCCGAGCACCAGCGCGTCGTCCACGGGTAGCGCCGTGACCACGAAGCCACGGATTTGGTCGCTGGCGGACATGGCGAGCAAGGATGGCGATCAACAGAACTCGAATTCAGTCACGATGACGGGTCTCGCATCTCCCTACAGCGGAACGGGTGGCGGCGGGGGCGGCATCGGCAATGGTGGCGGCGGTAGTGCGGGAGGCAAACTCGTCAGTCCTCTGGCCAGTCGGCTACCGCCTCATCATCCCCTGCACCCGGCGATGCATCCGGGCACGCAGTTCGTAAGACCGCATCCCGACTTCTACAGAAACCTGTACGGCGCGTCTCATCTTGGCTCGGGCGACATATCCCTACTGGAGACCTATTCGAGAACTCTGGGCGGACTGGGCGGCGTAATACCGCCGTCCACGGCACCGAGCATACTGACGTCCTCGTCTTCGTCGATCTCCGCTGCTGGTACCGTGAAACCTTTCTCGATCAACGGAGGTGGCAGCGCGGTCGGCGGCACCGCTGGATCGGCCGTTTTACTGACCACCACGTCCTCTGGACTATCGCCGTCGTCGTCGTCGACGGCATCATCGGGCGGTTCCGATCAGTCGCCTCATCCGGCAGCCAGCAGTCTTCCCGCGACTCAGGAACTCAAGTCTCCCGGACGAGTGTGACTCAACGACGCGACCGATCGCTAAAGAGACGCTTATCGCGCGAGCGCGTACGCGCGCGCTGTGCACGGGCGTTTTGTGTGGTGTGGCTGACAATAATCAGAGACTACAATCTTGTAATTAGTGTACAGTAAAACGGGAGATGATGAGATACTGCCCTTACTACCCGCTCCTCGTTCCTAGTCTTCTTTTTTTTTTTTTTTCAATGTCGTCGTAAATGTTCCTTTTTACGTCTCGGCCCTAATTTCTGATTTCCCAGTTTATTTTCTATAAATCCTCACCCTCGATAAAAACTCGTAGTACACCAACTACCCATAGTGGTTACATCGCGGTATAACAGTACCACAACTAGCGTCAACTCGACAGTACTATTACATATATAAATATTATAAATATATATAAAAAAATATACAATAATAATTATTATTATTTATGCGTTTGTAAATAGTAGAGAGAGGCCCAGTAGAGAAATCGTCCGGCCAGTGTATGTATTGTATGTAGAGTAGACACAATATTATTAACACATACCTGAGATCATAATTCATATTAATGACAATTATTATTATTATTATGATTATTATGATTATTATTATTGTTATTGCAATGTTTATAATATTATGTCGATTCACGCCGACTCGGTCGAGCATGATGAGGTATGGGTCGTTAATCGCGGCGACAGATTGCGAGGGACGGCCGGAGTGTATAGATTCTTGGAGATTGATCCTTTTTTGGTTCCTCTTCTTGTAAGTATCTATTATTTATTTCGTTAAAGATTATTGGCTCGTGATAATTTTTCTTCCTTTTTCGCGAGAACGCATACATCGCCAACGATTCGCATCGAATAACGTCGATTCGCGAATACGTGGCATCGCTCGCAATCTGCTGCGGTACACTATTTCCGTCGCGTCCCGTAGCCGCGTCGAAAAGAAGCAGTCACTTCCGGCCGTCGAGATCTCGGAGGACGATTGTGAAGAAGTTTCGGTTCGCGGAGTCACACACGAAGGCGTGGCACAACGGCTGTCAACATATCATGTCATGTCGAGAGTGAACGATCGCCATCACCTTTTAGTCATTCGTGTCAAAAAATTTCACGCGAGCCCGCTGATGTCGTGGCAGACATTGGCAGACGATGCGCAGACTGTGTCCTTTCGCAATAAACGAATCATTACGGAATGCAAACGAGTTGTTATTTCTGACCTGACTCCGCCAATTGCACCGCTAGCTACGCTAAGGTATTTATTGCTCTCTTGTTTGTGCATGTCACATGTGTAATGAACTCACTCGAGGACGGCTCGCGAGGTAATCGAACACAATTCGGTATTCTCGGACGCACGTTGCTTTCTCGAGTCAGATAACATGTCGATTATTCGAGTCAAGCGCCTAATCGTGCATCATGTGCAATTCAGCAGAGACAATGCATACACGAGAGGGTCCTCTAGTCAACGTAGGGGATCGTCCTTTCAGATCGGTGGATGAATATGAAACGCTCTCATTCTCGGAACCGGGACGGCCGGGATGTACTTATAAAAATGCAAAGCGACCAACTTCTGGGTGGTTGCTGGACAAGCCTGGTTATTAGTAAACATTTAAATCGACAATCGTTTTAGCTATGCGGGGAATGCTGCTTTCGTCCCGCGTCTCTTTCCTTCCCTCTTCTCTCTCTTTCTCTGCACCTTTCTCCAACCTTTTATCTCTTTTTCTCTCTCCCTCTCTCTCTTTCTCTCATGCGCGCGCGCGCGCGCACTTCTTCCGCGGGCCAGTTAGAGAAAAGAGGAACGACGGTGGCTGCCGCGCGTTCGGTTTGCGGTAGAGGAAACAAGAAATCAACTCGCGGGACCACCCGCTACGACCCGGGGCGCACCGAGTCGAGGATCCCAAGGAGGTCCACGCCGTCTTCATGAATCAACTCGTTTCTGCATCGGCATAAACCTTCAAAGGGTTGCGGGGCGCTTCCCCTCCTCCCCCCCCCTCTATTCACTAGATCCGTCAGAGTTATGTGGGCACCGGTGTCCCTTTCGTATTCTCTGCTCTGCAGCCGGTGAACCGCACACGGACGCCACGGTGTCTTCAAAAGCGCAGCGAAGACCGGGAGCGAAGAGAAATTATTACAAATGATAGAAACGCACAGCTAGGTGTCGAGAAGATATCTGATACCGTCCGAGATAAATAATTATTCGTCCCGCAATATTTTCTTCGATTTGAGTAAACGTTGTGCGTGAAACAACAAGTTAATTTACGATATATAAAATCTCGAAGAACGCCGGGAATTGTTAATTGCACAATTAATTAATGTGTATAATAAGAAACTTCTACATTTCAGAATTGGCGAGCTGTGTCGCGGCGCGTCGTGGATGCTTTAACGGCGTTTAAATCGCGCGATAAACCCGTTTTATGTCACTATAAAGATATCGATGGGCAAAAATGTCTTGCGGTGCGCGAAGAGGCGAAGGCGGGTGTTATATAGGTAGCTAGTACCTGCCGCAGATAAACCGAGCCATTACCACTACCAGCGGTCCAGTTCTGAAATGATCATGTTGCGGGGTGACTAAAGGAGACAAGGCTATCCGCCTGCCATGATGTATTTTGGAATAGCGCGCCGACGAAACGATAATCTGCCGTTTTACTCCACAAATGCACGCGGATGTTATATGGTCATTTTTAGCGTTATGGGTTCCTACAGCGTAATAACGGCGAATTGACGACCTTTCTCATTCGTCCGTCCGTTCTCCCCTTGGCAGTAACACGGGTTCTCGAATGCTCAAGAAACACTGGGATATTGCCCATCACAGGGCATAATGTATCGCGACCGCTAGATTTTATTTCGATTTTATCAATTTCCACCCGAGAATTTATTGTTATTGTAAAACCAACCGAGAGAGAAGAAGAAAACACGGGGTGTGAGAAACGTTTCAATTTTCACGAGGGGTTGTGAGTAAAGTGTAGTTCGCAATCGCGGCGTAAATCAGCTGTTATGCCTCGGCCGCAACACGAATAATTCGCTATCTATTCGCATCGCGCGCTTCTTCAAAGCAGCGCGTTTTCTCAGCTTTTCAGTCGCGCGGATAGCTTTGCCAAGAAAATTTTATGGCGTCGCGTGTTTTGCACGCGACTTTGCCGCTGCGTCATTATGCGTGACGGTTATTAATAAAAATTAATAATAGTTTACGCGCGTGTATATATAGTCGGCTTGCTTGGGTAATCGCGGGATTTTTTGAGATCGTCGTTACGTTACGCCAAGGTCGCTAGTGGTCGAGAGTTTTCGTGGAGGACGCAGTAAAACGCAGTTATGCTGTTCGACTCTCCTTCGCAGCGGGATACGCATACGTCTTATCCGGGAGAAGGACACCGCAAATGGATACAGGTGCCCGCTGTAGTTAGCCGAACGCCTCGTAAGAACTTCCAAGAGGGACGAGCGATAAACTGCTCTCTGTAGCGATGCTTTATTGGCTTTTATCGAGTTTTAACGCGAGCAGCGAATTCCTTGATGGAAACGCCGTTAATTTTACGACGCGGGCATATTTAGCCCTACGGCTTCTCGTAAAATCATACTTCGGTCGCGATAAAGTTAAAACATCCGCGGGAGCCGCTGAAGCAAAAGTTCACCTTATAAATACGCGGCAGGGGAGAAAGATAAATAAAGCTTCGTCGTGTAATATACTTCTATTATTTTTAATAAATGTAATTTTAATATAATTTTCGAAAGAAAGATAATTAAATTTCACCACTTACGATATAGATAGAATTTAAACTGCTCGACTATACGATGCTATTTTCATGTAGTATTCCGAAACAAGATCATTTATTTAAGTTTCCAGACAAATGGACGTTAATTAGTCTCGCGAAGATTGTTTGATAATTAAATGCAAAGGATAGCAAATATGTAAGTAATCAATTAATTAATCGTTTACGACCTACTTCAACTTTAAAGCAATCAATTTCGCCGAAGAAGCTAGATATTCTATTTCGTATTTCAACATTGAAGTTTATCTGTTATATTTTATAAATAAAACTTCACTGTTATAATAGAGTATTTTTCTTACTTCTAGCATAACGTTCGTTTATAACATTTAGCAGTTTTAATATTATTACAGATTAATTTCATTAGTGAGATTCTTTTAATGTTCATCTCGCAAATGAATAATCTCCAATATTCCGTACATGAATCTTTTACTCCGCGAGATAATATCTCGCGAAAGTATTTCTCGTCTTGAATAACACTACGCGATAACGTGAGGCGAGTTGTATTCAACTAGGCAATCTGTAAAACAGATATGCGGCACGTTCTTTTTCTGGCGCACCGCCACGCAAGTGCGTTCCGCGTTGTCGAAAGGTAGCGTATCAGTGTAGGTGGTGAATAATGAATGGCAACGTCGAGACAACTTGCTGGACCAGCGTCGACGACGTGGATCAGGTCGACGGTGTATATACGACCGGGGTTAGGAGACGCAGTTACAGCACGAGTTCCGGGTAAAACGACATGAAAAATTAACGGGTCCGCGTTTTGACATTGCGTCAAACTTTCGTTGTACGGGTGATAGATTGTTCTACGGTTGGTAGATTATTCCGTACGGCCGTTGTGGAAAGAGGAAGGGACAGAGAAAGAGAGAAAGAGAGAGAGAGAGAGAGAAAAGAGAGAGAGAAAGAGAGAAAGAGAGAGAGAGAGAGAGAGAAAGAGAGAGAGAAAAAGCGAGAGAGAAAGGGAGTCGGTGCGAGCGAAAGATGGTTTTGGATTTCTCGACTAACGACCGGCGGACAAATTCGAATTTTACGAGGGACACCTCACGGCAGTATTGTCAGCTACCCGTCGAGCTCGCAAACGAGTCCGTCATCCAACCTCGTTAGATAAGCATTTTTCGTGAGATTTATCACTGTGTCAGAGATATACAAAAGTAATTTCACTCAATATGGCGAGGATTGAAATGTGTAAGTAAAAAAAATATTTTATCTTCGTTGCTGATCTGCCGCGCTCGCACAACTACAAATCCAGTGTATGATAATTACATTGACAGTAATTTAATCTTGTCACCAGCCGAGTATTAGTGTCTCTTGGAATTTTGCGTTTTCGAGGAAAAGATAATAGATCGCCCCGAATGTATGCGTTATGACAAATCTGAAGCGACGAATGATCTTCGTGGAAACGCGAGTTCGTTGGGAAAAAAATGCGTCCGCGATAAATATTTCTCGCCAAAAAAGACGGGCTATAATTTTTCGCGGCAGAATCCCCCGCGGTTCGTAATCCTTCCCACTTTACGCGTATCCGGGCGCGCAACGCATCGCGCAACGTGTTGCAATTCAGCGCTGACGAAGAGTGAGACGCGGGAGATGGAGGAGGATGGAAACGGGAACAGAGAGACGCACGCATATATTCGCGATATTTCATTCGGCGTACGATCCCGCGAATTCACGTTCTCAAAGAGACTTCAAAGAGACTTCTGCGAGTTACCGGATGTCCGGCTGCTTGCGACACCGTGCCCGCTTTGTGCACCAGCCTATCGGGGCGGAGGGAGGAAGACGCCAGAGAGGACAAGACATCAGAGGAGCGAAAGAGTGACGAGAGGAGGGAGAGGAGAAGAAGAGAAGGAGCTCAACCGCTCAGCGAGATACTCGAATTCGTCCGTGGCTTGTCGGCTGGCAAGTACGACGTAAGTCACCTACTAAACTAGCGGGTAAGTAAGGGGGAGGTGCATAATTCACCGCTGGTTAATTGGCGAGCGTTTTCACGCCAGCCGCCGGTCTGTCAAAGCGGCTACAGTTTACAGCACGGCGGGACGGCGGGCGCGCAGAGTCGAGTCTCGGTATTATCGTGGAAGCGGGGAAGAGTGAAGATAGGAGCTGCTTCTCTCTCTCTCTTTCTTTCGCTCTCTCTCTCTTTCTCTCTCTCTCTCTCTTTCGCTCGCTCTCTCGAGACAGGAAAGGAAGAGGCGAGAAAGAGGAGGATGGAAGCATGCGTATCATCACTAACACCGTCGCGGAGAGAAACGCGTGCTGCGAAATTCTCGGTGCTCTCTCTTTCTCTTTCGGCTGCGACGCTCGTTCCCTGCTTATAAATACTGCATCTCGCGCAAGGAAGAGGAACAAAAGAACGAATCCGACGGAGGGATGGTGGAAGAGAAAAGAACGAGGTGGAGGAGGTAAAAAGAACTGCTTCTTGGCAGTCGACAACTGCGACAGAC